GTGAAATGAAGGGGAGTCATAGAGAGAACAAGAGAGAAGTCCCAGAGTCTCAATGTAATTTCTGCCCGTCTCCGTGGGGTACTGGGCTAAGGACAAAATGCTGTTTTAGCATCTGTAGTTTTTGAATTTGTCCAAATGAACTGTCTGAGAGACATTTGAGCATTCCCACATCCCATGGCCTGGGGAGGTGCCTGTTAAAGTGCAGATTCCCAGGCCCTGCCCACTGCCTTCAGAGTGACACCCTCTTAGGAGCAGCGCCTTGGCTCTGCATCCGAACCAGACAGCTGCGGGGACTCTCAGGTGCCTGAGTTTGCACTTTGCTGCTCTGAGAGTCGGCACAGTCCCATGACATGCTCAGACTTCTGCTGAGGCAGGCTCATGCATGAGAATGACAGCCTCTGGTATCACTGTGAAATGGGAGGGGCCCACAGAGGGCAGAGGTTGCCCCCAGCTATCTCATCAGAATGCAGCCCTCTCATGTTGTCCTGGCTTCTCTTCTTCACTCCGCAAGTCTCCACACGCCTAGCCTCAATGCCCCCTGACCAAAGCCACCACCACCGCCACCACCCAGCACTGCCACTTGAACAGGTATCTGGGAAAGGTCTGATGGGACTTTATAGTCAGTAGAAACGTGTTAAGCTGGTTAGTACCGGAGGGAAATACCTTTAGTCATTGGTGTTGGCGTCTTAGACTCCACACCCAGTTGTTTGTGTTGCTAACGTCTAACCGTGAAACTGGCACACAAGCTCACACGAGCACTGCAAACACTAAACTAGTGCATGGGGCACTATCCACACCCTGCCACAACTGACGTCTTCCTAACTCTACCATGGAAGAAGCCTCAGCTGCCTGTACACACCCACGTCCACAAGGGTCCAGGATCAGACCATGGGACAAAGAATGTTCTGCCGTCTGTCAGCCAAGGGACTCTTCCTTCACAAATGAATGCAATATATTGAAAGAAAAAAAAGTAGGCCTGGTTTATTCTAAATCTTCAATAACCAGGCACTTCATGGAAACACTTTTGTTGTTGCTTTTTTTTTGTTTGTGTGTTTGGCTTTCAAAACAGGGTTTTTCTGAGTAACAGCCCTGGCTGTCCAGGAACTCTCTTTGTAGACCAGGCTGGCCTTGAGATCTGCCTGCCTCTACCTCCCGAGTGCTTCGTGGAAACATGTTAAGCCCTAAGTGAATGCACAATTCTTTGAGAATTAAAAATGTGATGTAATAAAACTTATCTAACTCACTTATAAAAAAATTGATAAGGAAGTTCTTAATTAGCTTACCTCTCAGCTGTAAAACTTAAGGTGGCCATAAAGCCAGATCATTGCTTGTAACTGGGCAAATAAATTCAGCCAGTTTTGAATATAACATTAAAAAAAAAAAACTTCTAAGGAGAATTTTTAGGGAAAAAAGCATGAGGATACGCTAGCAAACATGAGATGAATAAAGAAATACGGTCTCACATAGCCCTGGCTGATCTCAAACTTACTACATAGCTAAGAATGACCTTGAATTTCTGACCTTTCTTCTGCCATCTCCTGAGTGCTAGGATTATTGGCATGTGCCATCAATGCTGGAGACCAAGCCCATGTTAGGCAAACACTCTACTTAAAGTGAACTACATCCCCAGCTCAAGAAATAAGTCATAATATAGAGAAATGTGTGTTCTAGTGCCAGGGACCCTTTCAGCAAGTTTAAGCCAAGAAGGTGGGCCAGGTGTGTTAGCACATGTGTGCAGTTCAACATTTGGGAGGTCGAGGCAGAGGAATCATGAGTTTGAGACTTGTCCAGGTGACATAGCAAGATCCTGTTTCAAAACAACAGAGAGTTTGTGCTTCCAAGCTATGACTTCATAGCTCAAGTTTTAATAACTGGCATACAGCCTTCCACACATTGACTCTGACCCTCGGCCCCAGCATGGATCTACATGGCCATACAGAAGTCAACACAGCCAGGAAAATCCCATAGTTACCTTCTTAGCTATTTTATAGTAACCAAGATTTCTTCCCTGTATTTTATGTGGCTTTTATTAAAACATAATGAATGTACAAGGCTCCAAAGTTTATATATGTATATAAACAGAAGCGTCCCTCTTCAAAGCTAACCACTGTTAACAAACTCAAGTACACATTTCTCTTCCAAAAACTGTCTATACATATCTATGAGCATATGTGTGTTAAGCATAAGTTTAAGAAACTTCAGACACACACTATTCTGTATGCATGCACATATTTTTGTGTGCCTGCATACATATACATGGAATATTCTGCATTTTTCTGCTTTTCAAAATTTGATGTTTTAGAAATTTTCTATATAGCCACTTATAGATCAACCTCATTCATAAGACTGTATAATAGTCCAGTGCATGGCTGTTATTGATATAGATGTGTGCCTGGTCCCCAGCTGGGGGTTGTTACTGATACAGATATGCGCTTGGTCCTCAGCTGGCAGCTGGTTTAGGTCATGCAAGCTTTTGGACATAGCTGGCAGATGGAGGCCAAGGCTAAAGGATGAGAGCTGGCTCTGATCCCTGCCTGAGCATTCTGCTTCCTGGTTGGTCAGAGATGAGATATGAACAAGCAGCCTGCCGCCCTTACCACCTTGAATATTGCCACGCCTTGCCTACTACAAAGCTGAGATGAAATAATTTCTTCTTCTCCCAACTGCTTCTGTTCCATATTTTGTCCCAGCATGGGGAAACTAATACAATGACCGTGTTACAGCTGAACCACATTTGGTTCCAGACTTTTAATTTTGCAGTGCTCAGAGGCTTTCCCTTTTCTAACTGGGTTATTGATCTATTCAGACTTTATCCCTGTACACAAGAGGAATGGATTCTGTGTTAATTTTCACATGATTATCCACACTTGTACCATTTTACGTGTTTCCCCATCAACGCTGTTTGGACTCGCTGTTTGTAGCTGTCACCCCATCAGTCACCCTTTCTTCTCCACTCCTTTCCTCTGGGACTCTTATTTCCTATACCTGGTACAAGTGTGCTGCTGGGCCTGGCGTGACTGTTTAATCAAAGGCACATGAATAAGGGCATTTTCAAAGAGTTGTGACATCGTGAAATGCACTCTACAGTGAAGAGAACAGAACCATTTCCAGTACCCTCATGGACATGAGTGAAGCTGTGTGTGGTGGCCACAAAACTGGCGCAGCCCAGAGCAGCCAGCCCTCAGAACCAGTGTTGACAGGACATGACTGGATCATGGTCCTGTCATAACCATTCTAACAGATGGGTCCAGGCCAAAGAGTCAGGAAAACACACAGCTGCCCCTCTGGTGCGAGCACTGTCAAGTTTATTCTGTAAAATAAAGCAGAGGTACAAATAACTTAGCAAAGGTAAAGTATAGTTAAGAGGCCTTTTATAAGAAAAACATTTAGCGACCACTGTATTCTCAAGAATTCTCAGATTATAAACTTCTCTGCTTCAATCTTTACAAAATCACATATACCAAGGAAAAGTTTAGTTGTTGAGAAGCATCATGACATGTTTCCAATAAAGCAAAGCAGTCAGCAGGAAAGCCAGCTTCATTTGACGTTTGGGTGGATCTGTTTCTTGTGGAGAAACTTTCTCCTTCAGCTAGCAGAGACTGAGACTGGTGAGTGTCAAACCAAAGTGCAGCCCAGATTTTGTACCACTCTCAAGTTTGAATTTGGCCATCTAAAACACTAACATCAAAGAAAAAGCTATTTTTATTCTCAAGGTGGAGAAAGTAAGCACTTCTAGTCTCCTGTTGGTTTTCCGTAACAACCTGTTCATTTAACAAGTCAGATAAAGGCCACTGAGAAGCTGCATCTCCTGCTTTAGTGTAATCTACACGCTCTCCCGTAGGTAAGGATGCTGAAAACCAGAACAGTTAATCCTTCTGGCAGTTAATTAACTGTGATATAATCTTATATTTTCCAAAAAATTTCCTAATTAGCTACTAAAAATGCAATAGCCCAAATCACCAAGCCATGATTTGTGCTGGTCCAGTTTTTATTTGTGTGATCTATCAAACAATGTTGAAAACAACAATCCTCTTTGTTCTCTGTACAGGGGGCTTTCTTAGCATCTAACTACCACATGGAGCTTTTTCATAGTTTCAAAGTTTCCCTCATTTTAACTGTGAAAAAGTTATAAATTCAATGGTGGTTTCTGCCAAACAGTTCAAACAACATTATAGATTTTTTTTATCTTGATTCAAGTATATAAGTGATTAGATTAACATAATATTCAATAAAAAATAAATACAAGTTCTAGCTCATTTCTGGTGCCATGAGATATAACAGCACCACCTATTTTTAAATGTTAGTGGTTAAAAATGTAATTCAGTTTAAGCACCATATAAGTTAGCTGTTCATGAAAACACAGTATGACTTGGTTTACTGGAAGGTAACAGTCTTAATATCCCTGTAACTGAGAAAACCTGTTCATTCGCTATATCCTGGTTCCTGGAAAAGAACAGCATTCACAGGAAGGAGAGGGTACACCTGGGGTTCAGCTTCTCAGTACTTGAATTACTGAGTATATACGTAATATTTTCATAGAAGCCCAGAAGAGGGTCACGCACAGAAGGTTCCAAGGGACTGTGCTGTGGCAACCTGCATGTCACCATGGAACACACTAAAAATGCTGAACACAGCTTTGCAGCCTTAAACATGAAACGGGAAAACCAGAAGAGTTAATACTAGCAATCGACTCTCATCTTCTTAATCAAAACATCTTTTCATTCCATTTCAAAATGAAATATTCTAAACTCCATTTCAAAAATGAAGCATTCTAAAATGATTTTTTTTACTTAAAAATACTTGGATTAACTATGTTAGTTGTTAGAGATGGTAAATACATGCGAACAAAATAAAGTGCACCTTCACAGTATTTAATGTAACAGACCCAGAAGTCACTTAGTTAAATTGGCATATAGACTGAAATACGAAAAGCACCTAACTAGCAAAGTGAGGTAAAAATGGGAAAAGTCTCAGCTGAAAAACCACAATTTTTCAGTACATCAGAAGGACAAATAACCTTTATTTAAGGCTACTATTAAATTGGAAGACTTTTGTGTATTTCAATTTTGTGTAGGAGAAAGGAAAGCCATTCTTCTAGAAGGCACTAATTGGTTTAAATGTGGAAGTGACGTCATAAGTCCAGAAGAGTCCAGTCCAGGAGACTGCCTGGTTCTTGAGTTGTACTTCTTACTCTTCCCGTGGTTGTAGGGTTTTGCTCAAGAATGGTGTCAGTCACAGGTGCTCCCACAGCTGGGTGTGCTCAGTCTACCGTGTGGCAGATCTCCTTGACTTTCTGGTTGAACTCTTCTGGCTGATCTGCGTACACATAATGCCCTGCCCCAAGGATAGCCTGGGAAAGGAAGAGCCGGCAAGGCCAGTGAGTGAAACACAACAGTAGGTAGACAACTGTGCTCAGAAACAAGAGCCACTAAGTCTTAAAAAGGTAAGTGAGACTCATCTGCAAACTACTGAGGATTTCCATCAGAAGGCTTTGAGATAAACAGGAAAATCTCCTGAATCTTAATAACTCCAACATGCAAGAAACACAAAGAAACTCTAAACTGATGGGTTAACGCAGGAGCCAGTGAACAGTTCAACTGTGTGTACTGCATTGGGAGGTGGGCGTGAGCCTATATGATACTGGACCAGTCTTTCAGTGTCCCCACAGAGATTGAGAAGGCCCTCAGAAAGGTGATTCACTATTGAGACATAAAAGTGTGTATGACTTAAAGCCTCCCACATCCCTGTGACATCAGGTCTCTGAATGGGGCCCAGACTGGGAACCACAAGGGAGTAATAATCAGACTTCATTGTGAATGAAAAACAAGGCTAGATCCACACTCACTATTGTCTTCACATAGGATTTGGGTCGCAGTGACTGGATGCTGGTACCAGAGTTGCCATCTATGCAGGATCGGGCACCAAAGATCACAGAAACTGGAATGTCAGGATGCAAATCTCCTATCCGCTGAAGCATCGGCCGTTTTGCCCACCCATAAGGAATCGTCATGTTTTTGAAAGCGGTCTCACCACTGTGGAGAGGAGAAGCACACTGCATGATCCTGGGGATGAGTGCACTACAGTCTCATCATTAAAACATACTCATATTTTGGCTTTCCAGCGTTTAAGAAAAATGTTTATTTTAAACCTTTAAACAATTTACTAGATAATGTAAAGGGGAAATCCATACGTTACTGCTTATTAGATAAACAAAGCTATAGTATATAATGTAGCTAATTTAAAGTTTTCTTCTAATTCAAAATAAGAAACTGAAGCTGGGAGTAATGGATGCTCTGCAGAAGCCCCTAGAAGTTGCTGAACAAGTCAATGACAATAGAGATACAAGTGACCAGCCAGCCAGTCACAAAACTGCAGTCTCTTAGGATCAGCAGCCTCCAGCTCCTCTGACAGAGACTCTAACCTACTTTCACACACTGCTGCTGCAGCTCCACCCACCAATGGTTTCCAGCGTCTAACCTCCAACAGGGAGGGCAGGAGGAGGGAAACACACAGGAGGAGGCTGAGCACGCAGGCTGGCCTTGCCCCAGGCTGCCTAATGAGGCAGTGCTGTAGTGCCTTACAGCACTCATCCCTGGCCTGCGCATGCGCATACGAGGATGTCTCAGCATTTGTCACTGATGCAGCCTAGAACTCCCGAGTCCGAGCCTTAAACTGGGTTAGGAGTCACTGCACTTGGTGGTCTCCCAGGCTGGCTTCAAACTCCCTATGAATGTCCCTCAACTTCATGCCCCATGCCCAGCAGGGATCACACTGTTGACATTCCACAAACCACAGAACCTGAAGCTCCCTTCTTGAGGCTTCTCCCAGCGCCCCACATCTTCAGTTTGCTCTCTACTGCTCCCTTGCACCTAGTACCCAAAAGCCCTGTTTTAGAAAACCATGTTTGTTCCCTTGCGTTTTCTGGCTGCTCTGCACTTGTCTGAGTATTCTCTCCCTCTCTAGTCCTAAAGTTAACAAGCAGAACGCTCCCCCACTCAACCTTCTCAGCCCTAACCCAGGAGGTGCTTAGTAAGGCAGGTGACAGCAGCCATGTGTACTGAGGAGTGCTGCCCGGCCTTGCCCACGGGCACAGGCCTGCAAGGCTCTAGAAGCAGTCTGCAGACCACTGCCTTTGATAACTGGCACCTCCTGTGTGGTGGAGCCTTCACACTCAGTTTAGGAAGTAAGTTTGAAGTGAAATTCTTTTCTCCCTCAACCTAGACCTCCTCTTTGAGATTCCTAACCTAAGCTGTCCTCAGATTAGCCATACTCTTTGAGGGAAAGGGAAAGAAAGTGTATCTTATTTATAATGCCCATCAGAATACACATGTTTTTACATAATGGTCACTTTATGAATAGACAGAGAATTATGTAGCAGAAATATCCCTTTTAAAATATATTTAATTACCAATAAATACAAATTTATAAAAACAAAAGTTTGAAGCACAAACAGTAAATTTAGAATTATAGTTTTCTAAACACAGTGGGGGAGCCTCATGTAGAAACTAACGGCAGTTGTGACAGCACACACACACACACACACACACACACACACACACACACACACACACACACACCACAAGACCTGAACAAGCTCAAACAAGACAAAATCCCAGCTTGGAAAGGGAGGAGGGCGTGAAGTTCTTCCCCTGGTTAAGGAGCTAGTGGCAACTGACAGCTGCTGGGAGAGGAGGACCCCGTTTTCTTTAAGGTGCTCCCTGGCAGGTCAACCACCCTCTAGTAGAAGGTCACACAGCCAAAATATATGAGCAGCGCCAACTGTATTTTATAGGTTAAAAAAAAAAAGGACACAAAGCTGGGTTAAGTAGGGAAGGGGGATAATTAAGGGAGGAGTTGGGGGAAAGGTAACTATGATCAAAATTAGATTGTACAAAATTTTCAAGGAACTAATAAAAATGAGAAAAAATTTAGAATCAGGAGCCTTACCTCGGGGTCTGTACGTTGCAGTGGTAGATGTACTCCGTCACCGTGTCATCCTCAAACATAGACGAGTACTTCCGTTTGAAATCAGGCCTTAAGCGCTGCACTAGACTTAACCCTATTTGACAGAAAATAAAAACACATATCTTTTAAGTTATTAACTTACAGCATAGAAATAGTGTTTATTTACATTGTGCTATGTATATACATGTTTTTAAATATATGTTTTAGGTTGGAAAAAAAGCATACATCCTGAAAGATGCTCTCCAGTTCCCTTGAAGGGTGTTCTACATTGACCCACAGGTGTGCTGTAGAAGCTTCAAATATCTTAATTTCAAAGAACTTGTTTTTGTTGAATAAATTTTTTAACTGAGGTCATTGAATAGAGCAGCCTATACATAAAATCACATTATTGGCTTGAATTCTTTTCTCTCAATAGTAACATAATAAGATATGTTAGAGTTTAAATAAGGAAACCAGGCGATATATAATTTTTTTCTCTATGATAAAATAAACTCACAATTTCTGTTCGGGACACTCAGATATTCCCTCTGAGTCATACTGATGGCACAAGGCCTCAAGGAAAGCAGAGGGCAGAGGCCTCTTGTGGCCCGGGTGTTTGTTGTAGGGCTCCACACTGGCTATTTTCTCCTGGATCACTCACTGGTCATTATTCTAGCAAAATGTGCCTTCTTTGCTTGGCTCTCCCACTTCTGAAGAATCACATCACGTGGAGAATTCTGAGCCACAGATGATTTTCCAGGTCACCTCAGCCACGCCCAAGCACAAGCAGTAGCAGAAGACGGAGAAGTGGCCCTACACTCCACTCCTCCACGCCTTCCCTCACATCCACTCCTCCACGCCTTCCCTCA